TGAGCGGCCGGGGCTGGGTCCAGTGCGGGTGTAGGCGAGCGCCGAAGGGCAGGGATTCGTTGTTGTAAGGGTATTACCGGCGTTACAGCGCTCGGTACTTTTGTTGCGGACCCTTGCTGGAGGCGGTATCGGCCATGGAGCCTCTGGCTGTGCCATGGGGGGCCGTGTGGGCCTGGATCAAACAGCCTGTGCTCAGTGCTGCGCTCTGTGGAGAGGCGAGCGTCGGGCTGTGGCCATGGTGAAAATGAGCTGTGCTTGGGTTGATTTCTGTAATGGAGTTTTGGCCTTCTCTCTTGTGTGAGGTGCTAGTTGTAGCTGGCGTTTGGCAGAGAGAGCAATGGGAAGCCGTCTTTCTGTGCTCAGGAGCAGATGCATGTGATCCCCAGCCACTTAACCAAGCACCGCCGAGGGCTGGATGTCATCTTCCATAGCTGGGTGTAGGCTTCAGAGGCAGAAGACTTTCCTGGGCTAGTCCCAAGGATGTGTTTAGGAGACCAATAACATGGAAGAACCCAAGCTAGCTCTTGAAAAGTCTGCAGAGTCAGAGCTTCGTGACTGTGCCTGGGTGTTTTATAATTGTTTGGTTAGGTATTTCCTTTCCATAAACTCATGTAATTGAGCAGGGGGAAGCTCTCAGCATTGCTGGTTATTGAGGAAAGGGGCTTGTACTCCAGAATTACTGCCTGTGTTTTGCCAACAATAACTCATTTGTCTCGCTTGGTAAAAGGTTGCAGTAGCAGGGGATTTCGTAAAATCCTGGAAAAAAAAAAAGAAGTGGTGAGAAATCCACCATTGCTCATCTTGTCTTGTTGTTCAGAAATGGCACCTCGTAAGGGCAAGGAGAAGAAGGAAGAACAGGTCATCAGCTTGGGACCTCAGGTTGCTGAAGGAGAAAACGTGTTTGGCGTCTGTCACATCTTTGCTTCCTTCAATGACACTTTTGTCCACGTGACTGATCTCTCTGGCAAGTGAGTATTGAACATCGACCACCTTGCAGCAGTACCTGGCTCCTTCAGTTTCGATAACAGAAATTAGTTTTGGCCAGAGGCTCTGCCAAAGCCCTTGAGCTTCTGCTGAGCTGTAAAACAAGACAGTGTGTGGATGTGAACATAGACCAGATGGGTTGGTGTGCTCCTCTGTGATGAGTGTTGTGTTCAAGGCACTGGATGGCAGCTTATTGACCCAGTAATGTTCAAAATAACAGGTTTTTTCTGTGCCCAGAAGCTGGTTGGTGGGGAGGAAAGAGGAAGGGCTTCTTTTTTCTCAACATTGCCCCTCCATTTCGTAGGGAAACCATCTGCCGTGTGACTGGTGGCATGAAGGTGAAGGCGGACAGAGATGAGTCTTCTCCCTACGCGGCTATGCTGGCAGCCCAGGATGTCGCCCAGAGGTGCAAGGAGCTGGGCATCACTGCCCTGCACATCAAGCTGCGTGCCACCGGTGGCAACAGGTACATTGGAGGGGCTGGGCCCTGGCATTCCCGGGGTTGTGTCCGGTCTTAGAACCGTGCAAAGTTGCACCACATCCCTTCTTTGTGCTGCCTCAGTTGGGAAGGTAGATGCACCCCGGGAATTTGACTTTGAACTTGGCCTGAAGGCTGGCTGTCACGTTGTATGGTGGCTGGCTGATGTCACCTCTCGCTGAGCATCTGGAACCCTTTCTGAGTGGGCATCTTCAGTTGACTGGAGCTGGGGTGTGCTCTTACTTATCTGGTAGTGGAAAGGGAGGTGCTGTCCACTTGGAGATGTGTTACCTTGTGAGGTGCCTGTCTGCTGGCTGATAGTGAATGGTGGTTGGGGTCAGGGGAGAGGAGGAGGGTGAGTCCTGGTATCTGGGTTTTTGGAGTGGAGGAATGGTGATTTTAACAATTGTTTGAGAGCTGTGTTCAGCTTCTGAATCACTTAAGGGATTATGGGTTCTGGTTCTCTCCTCTAGGACCAAGACTCCTGGACCTGGTGCCCAGTCAGCCCTGAGAGCTCTGGCCCGATCTGGAATGAAGATTGGCCGCATTGGTGAGTGGTGGAGGAAGCAACAGCCAGACACCTACGTCATGGTGTATCGGTGGAGGGCCTTGCTGCTGGAAAAACCCAAACAAACAAAAACCCACAGTAGTTTTGAGGGATTATTTAGTAAAAGGAGCTCTGCAGGTGTATGTGCTGCTTGTAACAGTTTGGCTTTGGTGTGTTCTATTTGGCCTCTGTCAGAGGACATGGAAGGTGTGATTTAATTTAAACAGATTCTTAAATTGACAATTCACCAGGAGGTGGCGCGAGCTGACTGCAGGAAAACACAAACCCCAGCTGCACAGCAGGATGCTGATGCCCCTCTGATGTAACCGTGTTTGTCACCTAGAAATGTTGTGCTGGTCTTGGTTTAAGACTGTGACTCAGTAATAACTGAATTCCTCCGAGTGTTTGAGGGAGAGTTCCAGACTTCGTAGGGGAATCCTAAGAAACTCTGGTGGTGGCTGCTCTAATGGTTACGCTGAGCACCCTCTGTTTCTTTGGAAACACTGAAGTGGGATGGGAGATGGGGATTTTTTCACTTCCAAGCAGTGAAAACCCAGGATGCCCAGCCCTTGCCTAGTTCAGATACCCCCACACCCACAGAATGGGAGTGTGGCTGCGAGGTGCAGCTGTGGGGTGTCGGGGTGACTGCTGGGGTTGGGTGGCTGTGCCCGGTTGGTTTCTTGGGGTACCTCTGGAAGGTAACTGTTTTGTTTTGTTATTTTCCCCGCAGAGGATGTCACTCCCATCCCCTCTGACAGCACTCGCAGAAAGGGTGGTCGCCGTGGACGTCGTCTGTAAACAATGCTGCACCTTTCGTTATTAAAGCTCTCTTTTAAACCTCCCAGCTCTGTGTTTTCTTACTGAGGGATGCTCAGAAGTGGAGTGGCTTCAGTTTAATTACATCCATGAGCGGTTTATCTTCTGTAGCTGGGCTTCTGGTTTGGGTGGGTTTTAGTACTGCTGCATCAGAGCTGCTTTTGAATATACACTGGGAAGGCTTCTAAAAGCACTTGAATTACAGCTCTGTTTATACGTTTATACTTCCAGAGGTTTAAGAAAAACTGAGTCAATAAAAATGACTCCTCGCTTCACTCACACCCTGCTTCCTGCAGTGATGTTTGCCCTCTGCGGAATGCTGCCATCGCCTGGAATTAATGCCCATTTCCACATTTGCCAGTGTTCTTCCTCGGTCTCCAGGCTTTGAAATCACTCCTGTTTCTGTCGCTTCCTCAGCTGTAACAGGACTTCAGACCAAAGAAGATTCATGGGCATACAGTACTTAAGAAGTACAGTTTAAGATAGGTCAGTTCTTTATGCTTCTTGTGTTGAGGCCCTTTATGCTTGTGGTTAAAATAGCTGTGGCTTCTACAGCGAGAGAGGAAACTGTCAAAATTCCTCCTGTGCAATGGTGACTTGAGCCCTCATGCAGTGTAGTGCCAGTTCTGATGTGAGGCTGTGCTGTGATCGCCCCAGCAGTGCAGCGTGTGGTGAGGAGGAGTTCATTGCAGAGGCAGCTCCAGCTCCTCGTGCTTTGCCTCCTCTGTTGTGGTTGCGTACTGTTCAGTGGACTGGCCATGAGCGAGTCGGCTCATCTGGAGCTGGTGAAGTGTTTTTCCAGGAATACTTGTGGTCAGGTTTAAGTGTTGGTTATTTAACAGGATTGGTTGAAAAAACTTAGGATTCTTAGCACAGTTATGTGGCTTACACATGATGTGTGACACAAAATGAAGCTGGAAGGCGGTGTTCTGGTGTCCTGGGCTCTTGGACAAGGACTGCCTCCAGATCCTGACGCTCCAGAACCTCACTGCTTTTGTGTGGGCTCTTTCCCGCACCTTTGCGTCTTGAAACACTTCACAGAGGATTCTTTCACCTGCCCACTCCTGAGCCTCCCTCCTCTCGCAGCAAAGGGTGCTTTGATGGATGGTGCTGGAGGTGCCCTGCTCTCAAAGCAGTCTCTGTTCTGGTAAAGTTACTCAGGCTGGATTGGATCCAGGGCATGTTGCTCCTGTCATGTCTTCAGTTGTCGAGCTCCAGCTCTTGCGTGGTTAAAAGGGGATGAGTTTCACAGCAGAGGAAACAAGGCTGTGATCTGAAGCCATGGTGCGTCTCAGTCTTCATAGCGAAAACTACTTGGATGCTTGCGGTTTCAAAGTGAGTCACGATCTCTTGGAGGTGTCCCTGCTGTGGAGAAGAAAGCTGGGTTTGTGAGCTACCTAACTGCTGCTGAGTTTTCTGCAAACTGTTGCTTAAGACATGACTTCCCCTTTCTGTGGAAAAAATCTCTGCCTGGACACGTGTTCCTAAGCCAGCATTTCCCTTGGCGCAGCCATAGTGTTTTATTTGTAATTTTAGATGTGGCCATGGAAAACTTTGGAACACAAACTTCCCTTACTGTCTTAAAAGTGCACTATTTGCAGTTCAAATCACTGTTTTCCTGTACCTGAAGTGTTCTTTGAACTCTGTGGAAAAGGTGCCGGAAACATGAAACCTGCAGTGGCTCAGCCAACGTGAAGCTGAACTGGGGGGAACAGTTTGTGCAGAGGAGTGGGAGGCTGAGGTGTGGTGTGATACCAACTGCTCCAGTCAATGGCTTCTTTTATATAGTCCTACACGCAGTTAAACCTGTTGCTCTTCTGGTAGGTGTTACTTTGTCCCAGGTGATTTGAATGTGGCTGCTTCACAGGGTAGGTTCGGGGAAAGCTCTCCAGGAACATGGAGAGGCCTTGCGGTACTGAAAGGAGGCTTATAAGAAAGATGGGGGCATACATTTTAGTAGGGCCTTTAGCGATAGGACAAGGGGGTAATGGTTTTAAATTAAAATGAGCTAGATTTAGAATAGATAGAAGGAATATTTTTTTTTACAATGAGGGTGGTGAAACACTGGCACAGGTTGCCTAGAGAAGTAGTAGATGCCCCATCCCTGGAAACATTCAAGGTTGGGTTGGATGGGGCTCTGAGCAACCTGATCTAGCTAAAGATGTCCCTGCTCACTGCAGGGGGGTTGAATTAGGTGACTTTTAAAGGTCCCTTCCAACCCAACCCATTCTATGATGAAATCCAAGGCAGGACCTTTGCAGTGGTACATGCTGAAGCACCAGCTGAGCCCTTCATGTCTAACCTGAGGCAGGAGGAATCCAGACCTACTGCCCAGCTTGGTGTATCCTGCCGCGGGGCGGTTTTCTGGGGTTTGCACAGGTGGCAGGAGCTTTGCCCAGTGCAGGAAGGTGGATTTGCTTTATTACCCCTTGATCTTTGGGAGCAGGAGCTCTGTGGGGTGCGCAGGGCTGAGCTGCTCGAAGCCCAGCCTGTGCTGTGGACAGCATGTTCCCCGGACTTGCTCCACAATTAATGGCAAAAATGGCTTTTATTTCTTAGCTGACCTGACGTCTTTGAAACAACTTCCCGTGTCGGTGTGAAACCCCCCAGGGGTGAAATGGTGGATGAGGAACAGAAACCAGAGCCAGGCGGGCCCTGCGCAGAGTGGACTGCCTGGCGCACGTCTTGGGCTCTCTGGAGGGAAAGCCTCTCCTGTTTGAGCAGTGTGGATGGGTCTCATGGCTCTTGCCTGTTCCTGCCCCTACCCAGCTGGCTTGTCGTGTGTTATTTGGCGAGGAACTCTATCACCTGCAAACCCCCTGCAGCCAGGTCATGGCTGTGTGGATGGGCGACACAAGGGGCTGCTTCCTCTGTGTCTCCTGGGCAGGAATGTTCACCCTGCCAAGGGCACGGGACTGCTCAGGGGCTGTGGTGCATCCCCAGCCCACAAAGTCCCCAGAGATGGGTCTCCATTTGCGCCGGAGGCCTGTGGCTCAGCCGTTCCCCTCGGGTTTGCCTCAGGGCCTGTCTTGTGCTACTGAGGATGTGAGAAAAGTGGTTTTTTTCACCAAAGTCAGTCTGGGCAGGGTCTGCAGGCTGACGTCTGCAAGGCGGAGGCACGGCTGGTGATGAATGGCTTCACGCGAATGCTCACGGGGTTATTTCTGCCCCCCTGCCTGAAATAATTGCTGTGCCTGTTTGGGTTGAAGCCCCTGGGGAACAGACAGGTCTGAGCTGAGTCTTGGGACTGCTCCTTGCTCCAGATGGCTTCTTTTCCCCCCAAAAGACAGCTGGTTCCCCTCCCTCCTGTAATGGTGCTTGTCAGGTTTGTCGTGGGCAGCACAGAACGTGCACAAATACGAAGCCTTGGGGGTGATGGAGCTTCTGCTGGCTGTGGGTGCCAGCCTCAGGCTAGGGAAGAAAGGGAGAGGAATGAGGCAGATGGATAGCTGCTCTGTAAAAACATCTGCAGCCTCCCAGGAAAATCGATTTACAGACTTAAAACACTTCAGATGCGACAGCCTTGTGCAGAAAGGTGCATTGGGGTGAAAAAGTACTGAAGAAGTCAATGGAAATGTCTGCGCAGAGTGAGGACTGATCTGGTTCTGACAGTCCCCATGTGGGCCTGGGGCTCGGCCTGGTTGTGGAGTATAGTGGGGTCTCCCCCACCCCCAGTTAAGGGCCTGTGCTTGTGGTTTGCAGAGTTGGTCCCAGCTCCATGACACCGCTGGGGTTTCGCTCCCGAGTTCCTGTTCAGACTTTCCTTAGTTCCCCTTAGGTCTGAGGTTGGTCACGGAATTGCCCACAGCGTAGCCCCGGGGCGGGGGGCTTGTGGGGTCAGCGAGGGGCTGAGCGAGGGCTGGGGCTATGAGAAAAACCCATGTCCCCCCCAGATCCCCCAGTGCCCCTGGTGGGCTGAAAGCCAAAAAGGACCAACAAACTTATGGAAGAGTTTTATGTGCTTTTTTTTCTTTTTTTTTTAAACACCTTGTATGATTTCTAAATGCAGAATCACGTAAAAAGCAGTAGATAAGTTATTTGTCTTCAAAATAAGCTCTGGGGAGGAGTGCAGGTGGGGGTAGGAGCTGGGGATGCAGGTGGACACCCTTGGGCAGGGGCTCTGTGCACCCCTGTGTGCCCTGGGGCTTTCCCGGCTGGGTTGCGTCAGCCTGGGGATGAGGCTGGGCTCAGGGCACCGCAGCCCTGCACAGGGGCTGCGATTTCCCACCCAGGGAAGCCAGAGCATCATCCCACCAGCACCTGCTTCTCCTCCAGAAAAAGCATCTGTCGCAAACCCTTGCCCCGCTCCTTGGAGGGTTTTAGTTTTGTATTTATTTAAAAAAAAAATTCTTTTTTCTTTTAGGTTATTCCTTAACCCTGCTCTTGCTGCAGGAAGGGTGGCTCCAGGGCTGCCCCAGCAGAAGGGATGGACGTACTGAAGAAACCTGCCCGTGCTCGCTACAGTTTTACTTTCTGTCCCTGGGGCTGTGCGTGGGGAGGTTTGCCTGGTAACCAGTGATGCCTGGGCAGATTGCTTTTTATTTCGCACTCTGAGTTTCACTTTTGGCTGAGCCCTGGCCAAGGTCATGCTGGGTCCTGGGTGCTGGGTGCGGTGTGTCCAGCAAGGTCAAACCCCACGGTGCAGCAAAGGCAGCGGGGACATGTTAACCCTAGGCTGCCCTGGGTCCTGGTGTAAGATCGTCCCAAATCAGCATTATAGGGGTGGCTATGCCCCCATATCACTTGCCCACATAGCACTAGCGGGGCTATGGGATGGACTGGGGACCCACATTGCCCCACTTCCACTGGTGCTTTGGGGGTCACCCACCTGGAAGGGCTGCTTCTCCTCTCTTGGGTTTGGGGGCTCAGCTCCACTGCAGGCAGGGCAAGGGGGGCAGGGTGGGGTGCTGCAAGAGGGAAGGGGGCTTGAAACCGCTTGGTGGTCCTTTGGTTGTTACCCCCGTAGCCTGAGAAGTGCTGGCCAAGCACCCTCACCTGGGGGAGTCCAAAGTGACCCTCAAGGGGGTTTGGAGCAAAGCACTGCTCTTCCCTGCCAGCGAAGGTGTGCGAGGAAGGGTATACCCTGATGGCATGCCCCCTCAGGGGGTCCTGCTCAGCCTTTGGTGTGGAAGGCCACCCCCCTGCTTCCCTCCTCATGCCTTGTCTCCACTTCCCCCATCTCCCCTCCATACCTCACTTCTCACAGCCTGTACCCCATATCCCAGCCCCTGACCCCCCAGGGGTACCAGAGCCCACAGGCCCATGGCACTGGGTGTCACCACTGGTGATGGGTGTCATGACCTGCCCGTGGTGGTGGGGTGGGGAGTGATGCCGCACAAAGTGACCACAGTGCTCCCGGCCAGATCCAGCTTCATTTCTGAACCGGAGACCTTCTGAGCAGAGGTCTGCCTGGCAACAGGGGATGTGGGTGCCGGCAGCCAATGGGGTTTTTTTTTGCCCCCCCCGCAGGTGGTGGGGCAGGGTGGGGACCGGGGGGGTATTTCCAGCGGCAGCACTCAGGGTCGTCATTGCCCATCAGGGAGCTGACGGGGGAGCCATGGCCGAGGAGCAGCGGGACCTCATCTCCGACCGCGGCAGCGGCGTGCTCAATGGCAGGGACACCCAGAGGTGCTGCTGCGGGGGACATGTGGGGCACGGAGGCGTGGGGTCAGGGCGGCGTGGGGAGGGCAAAGCGGGCACAATGGGGATGTGGGGCAAGGGGGGCATTGCGTGGCTGTGGGGTGGAAGGGGATACAGTTGGGCCAAGGGGGCAGAGAGTGGCTATGGGGTGGAAGGTGGGGGTAACACTGTGGCTATGGGGCACTGAGGGGCCAAGGGGGCTGTAGGGTGGAAGGGTCTGGAACATGGCTGTGGGCCAGGCAGAGGAATGGGGAGGCTATGGGATGGGTGGGGTCATGGAGTGGCTGTGTGTTGAGGTGGGTCACTATCTCTGGGGTGGATGGAGGCATGGGGTGGCCATGGGTTGGACAGGTTCAGTGTGGCTATGGGGCAGATGAGGGCACAGCATGTCTGTGGGGCAGACAGGTTCAAATCAGCGCTATGGAGTGGACGGGAGCACAGCATGGCCATGGAGCAGGCAGGCTCAAGGTGTGGTTATGGGGTGGATGGAGGCACAGCATGGCTATGGGGCAGGCAGGAACACAGTGTGGACCCAGAGCCCAACCGACTTTCTGGGGCCACCACCGTGTCCCAGCCAGCCCCTATCTACCAACCCCCTTTGGGACCCCTGCCAAACACTTCCAGCCAATCAGAAGCCTGAAAGCTCTGACATCATCAGTCACCGGGCAGACATCTTCGCGGCGAGTCCAGCTCTGGACATCGCCTGCAGCAACAGCGGCAGCTGGGCAGCACCCATGGGTGCCCTCACCTCATCGGGCAGTGGAGGGTCCTATGGGTGCCACTGCACCCCACCGTGCCCCCTTCACCCCAAAAGGACAGGATTTGGCCCAGGGAGGCCTTCCCAGTGCAAGAACGCCATGTGGTGCTTGGCTTTTTCTTCCTTTGGCACCCAAATGCAATGGCAGTGCTGCAGCACCCACCTGCCTGCTCTGCCTGTGCGCTTGGGGTGCCACGCACCTCCACTTTTTGCATAGAATTTTAAAAATTAAGTACAGTCCAGCAACCAATAGGCTATGTCCTCTGGTCCCCTGAATCAGCAGGGCTTCAGGTGGTTGCATCATTCTGCAAAAGGCAATGCCCAAGGCGATGCCCAAAGCGATGCCATGTCCCAAAACCTCTGGCAGTGCCCTACCTGCAGTCCCCATGTGCCTACGTGCTCCTCGGGTACCCTCCTATGCCTCCCCCCTGCCTTGCCCCTGCAGTGGGTTTCAGTTCCCCAGTGCAGAGGAATGACCTTCACGCTGAGATTTCACTTCTGCACACCAGCGACGGGGAAATTTGCATTTATATGGCTGCAAACCCCATGGGAAGGGGGTGTTTGGGGTGGCACAGGGCGTTGGCAGGGTACAAGGCTGTCCCAGTGGCTGGGGCTGAGCTCCATCTCGGTGCCCTGCAGGTCTGCGATGGGCCGCAAAGCCGTCCTCTCCACGCTCTCCATCCTGGTGGCCCTGCTGATCGTTGGCCAGGCCGTCACCATCTACTTCGTCTACCAGCAGAGCGGGCAGATCAGCAAACTGACCAAGACCTCCCAGACCCTGCAGCTGGAGGCGCTGCAGAGGAAGCTGCCCGCCAGCCCCATGGCCACCAGCAGGGTGGGGGGGTGGCCGGGGACAGACACCCCTGGACCACCCAACCCCGGACCCTCTCACCGCTCCTTCTCTGCAGGTGCCAAGCCAGCGAACAAGATGAAGATGGCGATGGTGAACACGCCTCTGGCCATGAGGGTCCTGCCTCTTGCCCCTTCTGCAGGCAACATGGTAAGAGGTGCCCACTGCTGCCTGGCGCTGCCCTCTGGGCTCTGGCACAGCCCCTGTGCTCACGCTGCCCCTTTGCCTTTTCTCTTGAGGACATGGCCCCCCCTAGTAACAAAACCGAAGACCAAGTGAAGCACCTGCTGCTGGTAAGGTCCCCTGCTCCCCCACCGACCCCCTAGCTGGGGGGACCCTCAGCTTTCACCTTCAAGCTGTCTCTTGGCTGGGTCTGGGGTCTCTCAGGGCGCTCAGAGCTGCTGGAAGCTCCTGGCCTCCTGCAATGTCCATCTGGCCGATATAAGCAGAGCTTCACCCTCCTGTTTTTCTTTGCCTTGTCTCACCATGGTGTTGCTCTGCAGCAAGCAGACCCCAGTAAGATGTTCCCGGATCTGAAGGACAACCTGATGGGCAACATGAAGCGCCTGAAGATGACCATGACTGATGCGGACTGGAAGGTCAGTGCTCACTGCCAGTCCTACCCTGTCCTTTCTAGGAGCACTCTCGCTTTAGGGAGGGGACTCGGGTGTCCCTACCTGGAAAAGCCAAGTCCTGCCTGAGCCAGGCTTGGGTTATTGCCACCACTGGAGGTGGTGTTGCTCACGACTTTCCTTGGCTGGAGCTTGCAGCACGGCCCCCCCATGGTGCCCCCTCCCTGTCCCAGTTAATGTGCTAGTTCCCCTCATTGCAGGCCTTTGAATCCTGGATGCACAAGTGGCTGCTGTTTGAAATGGCCAAGAAACCCAAGCCGGATGAGCGCAAGGCGATCCCAGCAGAGAAAGGTACCAGGGATGGGCTTTGCTGAGCTGGGGAGGGTCAGGACTGGCCCCTTGAGAGCAACCACCCCAGGAGGTGCCAGCTTTGGGCATCCCAAAGGCAGCTGAGCATCCCATCCTTGCCCAGTCAGGGAGCCTCTGGTTGGTGGCCTTTAAGACATCACAGAGCCACTGCTCACAGGGCATTTGGGATAAGCAAATGTCTGAAAAGCCAGAGCCACACCAAATCCTCCATCCTTGGCAAGCCCAAGAGCTTTAGAAAGGTGACTGGGGTAAGGCTTGTTCCCCTTTTAAATTTAATTTAACTGCTTCTGGGTAAAAAAGCTCCCGCTGAGGCTGCCGGGCAGCAGAAGGGCCCTCGGGGCTCATGGTGTCTCCCCTTTGTTTTTATTGCCCTAGTGCAAACTAAGTGCCAAGCGGAGGCCAATTTTGGGGGTGTCCAGCCAGGTCGCTTCCATCCCCAGTGTGATGAGAACGGTGACTACCTGCCCAAGCAGTGCAATGCCGCCACGGGCTACTGCTGGTGCTCCTACAAAAATGGCACCAGGATTGAGGGCACAGCCACCCGGGAAAAGCTGGACTGCCCCGGTAGGTCACCGGGAAAGGGAAGGAGGAGAGGGACAAGCAGAGTGCATGAATGTTGTGCCCCATTTTGCATGATTAAGGAGGAGGAGAGGAGGGTACCCGAGCTGTAGAGAGCATCCCTCACCCCTCTTTGGTGCCAGTGTATTAAGGCTGGAGGGAACCCTAAAACCTACAGCCCTCCTTGGGTAGCCGCAGGGATAGCAGATGCATGCAGTCAAGGTTTTTCATGCCCCCCCTTGCCCCTGAACCCAGTGGGTGGGTGCAGTCTCTCCCCTGCTGCCCTCGGAGGGGTGGGGGCAGTGGGGCAGCCCCAGGGGTGCAGCACCCACACCCTGCCCTCCCTCTGCAGATGCTGCTGTCAGAGATGCTACCACAGAGCCTGAGGAGATGATCTTCTCTGGGGTGAACTTGCTCAAGCTGGGAGCAGACAAAGGTGAGAGGCCAAGTGCTGGCATGGGGCTGGGGATGCTGGGGAAAGCTCTTGGGGCTGGGGCAGAGGAGATGGGGGCCTGGGGATGCACAGGTCCAGCATTTTACTGACTCCCTCCTCTCTTTCCCACACAGCAGACAAGTAGAAGAGGATGCCAGCAGATGCCTCTCCCCTCTTCAGCATCCCAGATCCTGTGTTTCATTTGTTTTTGCTCTATTTCATTTCTGCTCTCACATTGCTTTCCTAAGACAATTAACAGTGAGCACCCCTGTGCACTCCTGCCCTTCCAGGTATCAGTGCCCACCCTTCCCCTGCTGCAGGGCACCAGATGGGGCTGAGCTGTCATCAGGATCAGCACTAGATAGTTCCCTCAAAGAGGGGTAAAGCAGGCTGTAAGATGATTTTTACCACATAGGACCCCTAAGCCCTGTTCCCTTTTGCTCATTGGCACCCCACAGCACCCAGGCAGCGACAGGCACAGACCTCACCCCTGCTGAAGAACAGCCACTAATGCCTTCTTTACACTGAATGAACATTAAAAGCAGCAAAACAACCTCCAGTAGCTTCTTAACTGACTCCCGTAGGTTGGAGCCCTGTTAGATCACTGGAGTAGAGGGCTTTTCTTGTGGAGCGCTCGGTTTTGAAGATAGATGTTCGCCTTCAGGCTGGAGGACAGCCACAGCAGCGGGAAATAGCGGGGAGAGGGTCTGACCCTGGAGGCAGAGGGGCTTCTGATTTTTTGTGTGTCTGGAAGTTCCTTTATAAATGATCTCACAAGCCAATTATTTCAAATAAACTTTTAAGTAAGAAAGCCTCATAAGCAATTCTAGCAGGGCAGTGCTTACTAACAGTTTGCAGCTGTCCTACATTAAAAATAAATGAATTTTATATTAAAAAAAAGGGAAAAAGAAAAATCTCTGCAAGGACACTCTGACATCTGTGCTTCCCCCATGTTCCTGGCCCATCATCCCTGCACAGCCCAGGAGGCTGCAGTCATCTTCACATAAGTGGCAGGGTGGGAAGAGAGGAGAGCAGCCCTCCGCACCGGAGCCATCGTCCTCCTGTGCGCAGGTTGCACAGGTGCCCTCGCCAGCAGAGCCTGGAGCCAGGCTGCACAGCATGGGATAGAGCACGAGGGGATCCCATCCCTTTTTCCTCACCTGCTAAACCCCAGGGCAGGGAGGGAAGTGAGGAAACCAGGCAGAAGCCCTGCACAGGGCACAGGGGAGCGGCTGCCAGCGAGGCAGCAGGCAAGATCTGCACTGGGTGGTGCACAAACCTGCCCTCAGCACCTGCCCTCCACAACATTTTAGTAAGGAAGAATATACAAACCAAGGCTAGAAAAACCTGCAGTTGAAAGCCGAGGGGCAACAGTGTCTGCTTTTCCTCAGGGAGCAGGCAGAAAACAATTTTTCCTCAGAGGCTGACGTGGCACCTGTGAACCTGGGCTCTGCCCTCCTACCTGCATCATCCTCTCGAGGGCCAAGCCCTGCCCCTGGCTCAGCCCCAGCACCTGCCCCTGGGCTGGGCCTGGGCACTGAACCAAAGGGCTTTTCCTCTCCCTTCCTCCCTGTCAAGATCGGTCTGGTTCACAGTATATATTTCGGTGATGTCCAGTGCACCAGGTGACTCGTGGGGGGCTGCAGGAGCAACTCAGCCTTGGATTGCCTTGAGGCCCTGTCTCTAGAGACAACCCACGGGGAGCTGTGTAGATGGCTCAGCCCCGAGCTGTCTGGTAAGGACAAAACTAAACAGGGCAGTGCTGCATCACTCAAAGAACCAAAACCTGAGTTGAGCCTTGAAATCCCTCAACAAACAGTATGCCCTGAGTCCCAATCAAACCACTATCCAGTTGCCTAAAAGTAAGACAAAGATAAGCTTCTATGACTTCTATCTGGCTCCAACAGACCCAAACAATAACAAAGATATGCAAGAGACAGAGCATACAGAAGGGAGTAACATCCATGAATAAATAAAGATAAAGCGAAGCACTGCTAAAGACAAACACCCCAGGTGGTCTAATCTACTCAGATATGCCCCTTCCTGCTGTCCCATACACCAGGGGATAAAACCTCTGAGAGTCATGTTAGAAAACGGGGTTACTTCTCCAGCCATGGAGTGATGAGAACCTTTCCCCTTGGTTGCAGTGCTGACCAAGGTAACTTACGTGGGAGCCCTTACCTGGAGGGGTAAGGGAATATTTGGCAGGCTTTAAGTTTGTGGTTGCAGGTGATGACTGACACACGTGTGGTATTCTGTTTGTGGGTTGTGATAGTGTGTTCTGTGAATCGCCTGGGAATTGTAATAGTGGATTGTGTAGTAGCCTGGGAGTTTTGTGAATTGCTTATGAGCAGTGAGTTTTGTGAGTGGTCTGCAGCCTGTCGTGACTTGCCTGTGGGCTGTCATAGTGCATTTTGTGACTCTCTTGTGGTTGTAATAGTGTAGTCTTGCTTTTAAAACTGCAACAGTGCATTCTCCATTGTACCCATAGAACCTGCGATAGTGACACACTGGATCTGCACACGTTGTTCAAATAAAGTGTTAAATCTGAACTCTGCAGTGGAGTATCTTTTCGTCACACTCCCTTGAAAGCAGCTAAAGCAAAACCTCACCATTCTTTTTTTTATTTTGTATTCCATAAAAAACCTCACGAAAACTTCACTGCCTCGGCCAAGAACAGCCGCTGGACACAGCTGTTCAGTGCAACTCCAGGGACACAATAATCACTGCTGTCAGCGTGAGAATAAAAAGTAAACCCAAGAGCTCACTTCCATAGTAGCAAAAGGACTGACACCACAAATCACAGAAGGGGAAAGAACCGAAAAGTAAAAGTTTCTCTTAAAAATATAGCTCTGTGATGGGAAAGAGAAGAGGTGGCTGGGTGTCAACTAGAAGGAAAGCAGTTTATACAAGCTGGCTCTTCTCTGGTCAGACTGCCTCCTTCAGTTCAGTTCTTGTGCAACGGGCGAGCCAGGAGGGGCAATAAACACATCTCTGGATCCCAGCAGGGCAGGAGGAGGCAGAAAGTTACACTGGTCTGCTATAAAAGTCACAGTTAAAAGAAGTTATAAATTATTATTTAAAAAAAATGTTTGAATTCTCTTGATGAGCTTCCTTTTCTCTCTTCTGTTTGATCTTCACCCATAAATCCTTAATCACAGGGATGCGGTACCTTTGGGGAGAGGAGTTAAGAGAGTTAGGGATGGGGAGGAGGGTAACAGCCTTACAGCTGAGCAGAGCAGGGGCAGAGTCATCTGGTCCACTTCCAGGTGGCTATACCACCACCACCATCTAATCCACAGGACTTTTCCAAGCTCCCTGTGGTCAGCAGGGACAGACACTGCCAGAGGCTGCTTATCTCTGCTGATGACAGAGGACGGCAACATCCAGGCTGGACATCCAGTTCTCAGCAGCTAAAGAGTTGAGGTCAAACACATCCAGAGAAGCCAGCGCGTTGCCGAGTGACTTTCCTTACAGCGCTTCACTCCCTGGCCCTCTAATCTAAGGCCAGGCTGACTCAGGGAGCATTCAGAGGGCACTCTTCCCAAAACTGGCCCATGAGAACTGAATCTGGCCAAGGTTACCGCCGCTCAGAGGTACCAATGGATAGTCACCACAGGCCATGTACCTTCTCACAATCCTTCGGGCTCAGCTGTTTTCTTCTTCTAAAAAGATGGTGAAAAATAAATCAGTATCATCTGCACCACAACCAACAGAACCAGTAAAGCCACAAGCCACAGCAGCTTCTTGGCAACCATCTCTATGGGTACATATCAATTACAAGGAACATCATATAGGCCGCTCTGCCCCTCTTCCTAGCTCTTGGGATGGGACGCAATAGCGTACCAAGCCCTCAGGAACTCCAGTTTTGGCTGAAAACAACTAGATGAACTGACAGCTGAGGAAGAGCACTTTACTCCTTGGGCAGGTCCTCTGCTACCAAAAGGGCCCCTGGCTTTGACCTTTCCAGGGAAAGGGAACTCTCCTGGGGGAGCTCTACAGGAACAAGCCCTTCTTCAAGCCACCCCAATCCTGACCAACCAAAGGTCAGGGTGTCTCGAGACCAGCCACAATTAACTACAGCCTCCTCTCTACTCCCAGCAAGGCCAGGACGTGGTTCTGTTTCTCTCAGCTTGACGTGCTGCGGGGATGAGCACCACAACCGCAGTTCAGAACAGTTCCCCCATGGTACCCCAATCCCAGGGCCTTGCACATACCTTCTTCTTCTTGTGAACCTCAGCAGAGCCATCTGCTACAGGCTCCCCTTCTGAAGATGTCTTTTTGCTCTTCTTCTTTTCTTTTCCAGGCTTTTTTTCTGGGAGAGGGAAAGAAAAGTCATCTGAGAGAGGGGCACTGGTATTGCTAGCCTCTGAGATGGAACACAGTGGCAGGAGAATCTCCAGTAAGTTTCTGATCACATCTGAACCTGAACAAGTTTTCCAGAGCAGTAACTGGGTGAAGACAGAGCCCTGCTACAGGGCAGCTGTGCCCAGGGCTGTTTCTCCAGTACCTCTGAATCAGAGCAGTTTGATGCCACCATCCATGCATGTGTGGGCAGGAATACATAGGATCCCCTTCGTTCCACCTCCTGCTGCCCACTCACTTTGAGGAACTGCTTCAGCGCTGAAGCAGCTGGGCAAATGCCAGAAATCAGAGCAAGGGGAGCTACTAATGCAGGATGGATGCAAGGGTCAGTTCAGCACAGCTGCTCCAAGAGGCTCCAGCTCAACCCTGTGCAACAGCCCACAAAGGGGCTGACAGATAAGTCTGGCTCCTCCAAAATGAAGGGCTGCAGGACAGAAATCCCAGCAGATCTGACCCACCCACTCCATCTCTTAAAAAAAAAAATCAACCACCCTCCACCCCCCAAAAAAAACCACCCCAAAACCTACAAGATTCAGCACAGAACCAGCTCTGATTTGCAAATGCAGTCTGCACTCCAAAGAAAAAAAAACTGCCTTTGCATTAAGGCAGCAAACAGGGCATTACAGGAGCGTGCAGACAAGAGGAATCACGCTTAACTGGGAGCAACGAGCAGGAGGGCTGGTACCACCCTCATCGTTCTCCAGCGGCTTGAAAGCAGCAGTAATAGCCCCGAGTCAAATCTCTTGAATGAGCTGCTCACCATGCAGCAGCAGACACTGACCAGGCAGGGTCAGGAAGGGGCACTGTCACCCACGGGAACAGCAGCGGCTGACACGGCAGATGACAGCACAGATTTCAAGGCTGATCTCTTTTAAAGAGGCTGGCAGCAAGGGGCCATGTTCAGGAAGCTCTGACAAACACAAAGCCCTGCACATGTGAACGCTGGTGTTTCTCTCTCATGTCCACAGCACATTGGGGACCTTCTGCCTGCCATCCCCAGCCACATACCCTAGATCTCTGCTAGCAAACGCTGTCTGCTGCAGAAGAGCAGGGCAGCCAGCTGCGTTAGCAGAGCTGTTCTGCACTGCAGACACAGAGCAGGGCACCACGCAGAGTGCAGCAGGCGGGACACAGGCCTCACGACTTACAGCCAGCAAGAACTCTCCCAAGCCCGGTGCAGGCCACATGAGGGGGACAAAGAAGGCTCAGGAGGTTGGATGCAGACTCACCTTAACCCTTTGTCAGCCTCTGCTATAGAGCTGCTTCCAGCCTGGGTAAGGGCCAGGAAAGCAGAGAGCCCTGGGGGGACAGGTCGTGTCATAGAAGACGCACAAGGGACACCAGCTTGCTCTGCAAGCAGCAAGGATCAGCTTATTAACACCCTGCTGGATGCAGGACAGAGGGGCAGGAGAGCCCAGCTTGCTCTCTGCAACATGATATGGTGCTGAGACTGCAGAAAAACCACTGATGTAGGGTGGTAAAAATCTGGCACTGGCTTTGGGTGGGCCAAGAGGAAAATAGCCAAGCAGGAAGCTAATAGGAAAGTGGGTGCTACCTACAAGGCCCTGCACCAGAGGCAGATCATGCATCAGCTGCAAGAACCCATTGGAAATGCAGTCCCGAGTGAGGGATGCTTACTTTTGGCTGACTTTTTCTTTTCCTTGCTGCCTGGCAACTTCTCCAGGTCACCAGCTGCTTTCTTCTTTTTCTTTTTGGGTACCTCTTCGCTAGCTTGTCCTTTCTGCTTCTTCTCCTTGGGCTGCCCAACAGCTCCATCCTCTCCTGGCAGTTTCCGCTTCTGAGATGTTTTCTGCTTCTTATTCTCTTTGTCTTTGCTCTTAGATGTTTTCACAGCCTTGTCTGCCACAGAGGAAGATTTATTCTTTTCCTTCTTCTCTTTTTTCTCCTTTTTCTTTTTCTTCTTCTTCTTCTCCTCTTCTAATCCTTCCAGTGTTTGCACTGGAGGAATTTTGGCAGCAGTGCTGATCTCGGTTTCACTCTCCAAGCTTGACTCCTCAGATTGTGGAACAGAGAAGGGTCCACATGATGCTGGGTTCCCCTGCGCCCCTTTTGCCCCAGCACCATTCTCTTTCACGGCCAGAGCTTTCTTGACTGGGGAAGGTTTGAGGCTGACATGACCTGGCTCTGTTTTTCCTGCCACCTTCTCTTTGTTGGAGGCTCCTGTGGCTTCCTGCCCTGGAAGGGGGTTGTTCTCTGCAGAAGCAACGACAAGAGAGAGAAGAAAACTCAGGGAGTGTTCATTACATAGACCACAGAGTTACTGCAGGATAGAGTTTGGAGAGGAGCATCCGATTCTCCCTCAAAAGCAAAGCCAACCCAACTACAGCAGAGCCAGAGAAAGATGCCTCAGCCTGAGATCAAGTATCTGGTGAATGAAGTGGGTGACAACAGCCACAACAGCTTCTGCCACATCAATGGAGAATAGGGACTAGAATGAACTGCAGCACAAGATGGGTGAGCACAGCTAGAGCAGTCCTTCCCCAGGACACCACTCCCTGAAAGCCCAAGGTGGAGGGGCTATCCACACCACCACGTTCATCATCACTATCCCCTCACACCACCTGGGTCTTCTTGAACTTATCCATAGTTCTGACCTCCTCAGCAGCCCTTTGCACAACTCAGTGATGTGCCCGAGAGGCCAACAGACCCATTGAGCCCTGAGAGCAGGGTCAGAGCTCACAGCTGGAGCTCACCTGAAGGTGCCAGGGTCACAACCAGAGCAGAAGCAGCTTTCAGCTCTGTTTTGCAATTTGCCAAAGCAGGGCAATAGGGAAATGACAGGACATTGTGTTTCTCCATATGTCTTCCCACTTGCTTCCCCTCCTCTGCCCTCCAGATATACTAGAGCCCAGAAAGACCAAGGGGAGCCTTGAATACCAGCACTGTACAGATGTTCTTCAGCCAGTGTTTAAATATTCCCTAGGAGCCATCACTACTGCAGCACATCAATCTAGTGGGCATAGGTTTTAGGGAGAACTCTACCTACTCCCATTAACTGCATTAATTATTGCAGTTAAAGCAGCACTTGGAAGAGGCAAAGGCACAGAGCCTCATAAGGCTGTCAGCACAGGAGGGGCATCCAAGCAGAGTGCTGTGTCGTGCTGAGGAGAAGTCAGCAGATGGCAGCAGCACCCCACACTAATGGGCTCTTCAGTGAGACGCACTGGGAACAGGGCCCTTTCCCAGCATCACCCTCCAGTGCCAGCACGGCTTTGCTCCTGGGCCAAGCAGAATCCCGATCTCGCCAAAGGAGACCCACCTGCTTTGTGGTTTGCAGCCGCCTGGTCCACGTCTGTGTCAGAGTCACTGCTGGAGCTGCTGGCTGGGGCTACTTTTACAGAGGCCTTGGAGATGGAGTTTGCAGCAGTCACAGCTGCTTTTCCTTGCCCTGCTTTGCCTACAGGCACAGGGGGAACCGTCTTTGGTGTCTGGGGTGTTGCTGGGGTCTTGGAGATACCCAGATAGCCTGTGAGGATGGACTGAAACAGCACAGGCACACTGAGGAGTCACAGCAGGGCAGCCTCCCACACACCAGACACACAGATCTGTCTCTGCTGCTATTGACTCCATACTCTAAGAGCCCACCTTTGGCCACCTGCAGAGTGATCCTGCACTGCTCAGCCAGCCCCACAGAGGCCAGGGCTGCCAAGAGAGGAGGGCAGCACTGACAGATGCTGGCTAAGTGGACAGCAGCAAGAGTTGATGGCAAGTGGTTCTCTTTGTTCTCAGCCAGTAAAGCAGGCTTGGGGGAGGCTCCTGGCCATGAGCATGCGCCCACGCACAGCTAACACACTGCAGATGTGCTGCACGCCCTGCACGTTACTTACAAAGGGAATTTAATGGCTTGGACATGGGTTAAGTTACAAATAAAACTGGGGAAAAAATCCTGCTGCTATTAGCACTGTGCATCAGTTCTCCTGGTTTAACCCTTGCAAGGCACCACCTCCTCTCAACCCTTCCCCCGGGAAAGGCACCATGAGTCCTAGACCCAATGCCAGCTGCCTGGGGAAGCACTTCAGGTTCAAAAGCCTCTCTTTGCCCCCAAGAAAAGGGCCCTGCTCACAGCATTGCACTGGGGAGGGCCCCCACTTCTGTGCTGGCAAACCCTCTCAACATCCCATTGGCTATGGTTGAGAATTCAATCCTCTCTGTCCTACGTATGACTCAGTTTGTAAGACCTGAGAAGATCCCAGCCTGCTCAGGCACCATACCTGCGACGCTGCCTCCTCCTCCTCACTGGACTCCGAGGAGCTGTGGGCTGGCTGGGTGACTCCTGCTTTCTGCTGCAAGCCTGCTGGAGGAACAGAGTTCATCCCATTAAACCCACCATGGCCACCTGGGGCTGACCTCACCCACCCAGCACAGTTACTGCCACCAAAAGGCCTTCTGCCTCCAAAGAAAAGAGAGTGCTCCATCAAGCTGGAGTGAGGAAACCCCTCTCCAACCACTGTGTGATGGTGACACACCTCTCACAGGATAACAAAACACTGTCCCCACCCTGGCCTGGCCAGCAGCACTGACAGCATCTTGAGAGTACTGACCAGATTTGGGGGGCTGCTTGGGCATCTCCTCTTCATCACTGTCTGAAGAACTGCTGCTGCTGGAGGTCTCCTCTGCCTGGGTGGGCGGCTTGGCCTGGCTCAGCCGAGTGTCCTCTGCTGGCTGTGGGCCTGGCTTCCTCGACTTGCCAGTGGGACTTCCCAGCAGCGAAGCAGCCTGCGAGGTGGCAGCATTGGCTGGAGGAGCTTTTCCCACAGGAACCGTTTGCTTTAGGCAAGGAGGGGCGGCCTAGGGAGAGGAAGACAAAATGCATCTGGAAGGAGGAATAACTGCTCATGCCCATGAACTACAAGAAGCAGTCCAGAGCAGATGGGCTTGGACCACCTCAGCCCTTCTTCAGCCATACTGCTCCAGTTTGTGTCAAGGTTAGCCCAGGAACCTCTCATGCAGAGCTCAGAGACCTCCATCTCCCCCGGTTCAAAGACAGTGAGATGAAGCAGGCAGCTGTGGCCAAGCAGACAACTCTTGACTGTACCATGCTCTTCTATCACAAAAGAAGGAAGAAACCTGCCAGCCAGGCTGGGAGGCAGGAACAACAAAGGTACCAGGGCTATCCTCTGCTCATCTGCCTCACCTTATAGTGCGATAACAGTGGTTAAAATAGAGCGTCCCCTCTCTCCCCACCTCCACAAACCCACTCCCTCAGCTGGGGACACTACACCAGCCTCAGACTCCAGCACATCCATCTGCCCACTGTCCCCAGGGAAGCTCCCCTCTTCAGGCTCCTTCATCATTACCTCTCCTCCTGGGACGTCGTGCTCTGAGGAATCGCCACTCGAGCTCTCGGACACTCTGCTAACTGGAGGGACAGCAGGTGGATTTATCCCCTTCCCCAAAGGCAGTGTGGCATTAGCCTTGGCAGCCGCTGCACTCGAAACCTTGGCTGCTTTGACGTTCTGCTGGGACAGACTCTAAAACGGATGAGAAAGAAAATCAAGACAAAGCACAACTTGGAGGGAGAAGAGACAGAAGCACACACCAATCCACCACTAACTCCTGAGCCCTTCCAGAATTTTCAGCACAGCATCTAGGCTCATTTATTTTTCCCCCCCTTCACACATCAGCTCTGTCTCCTATGAGCCTCTGAGCAGGGCCTCTGGCACAGCCAGGAGCAGAGAAGTGAGGGCCAGCCCTCCAGGAGTGCCCAATACATTAGCTCATTGCCCCTGAGGCACCCATCCTGAAGGCAGGTAGGCAAAATGTGATATGCTTGCAGATCCCTGCCCACTGCAGCACCAGCAAGACTGCAGTTGCCAACCCTACTTCGCAAAGCGGACGCTTGTACTCTGGGATGTCTCCTACACTCTAAAAATCACACACTGAGAGTTAATTGGCAACACAGATAAAGCAAAGACACCAACCACAGGGCAAATCTGCCTTCAGGTTCATAAGCAAGCTGCAGATTAGAGAGCAAATGAACAAGAAACAGTTCTGTTGCCTTACATCTGAAACCTCCCCATCAAACTAAACTAAAGAGGGGTTAAAAACAGAAGAGCCAGGAGCATGGAAATCAGACACTGACATCAGGTCCAAGACACAAACGCCAGCAGAGGGGGGAGCAGGAGTGATGAAGGAGTGCTCAGCTTCCTGGTTTGTGTTACTAACAAGGCTACGTGAGCAGCTGTCCCTTTCCTGATCTCTGACAAGCTGGGCCTTTGTGGGCTGACATTTTCCTCACACAACATCTGGGCTTCAGAAAGGCAGGCAACGCTCCACCATACAGAGCACCGCCAATCCGACCTGAGCTCCGAGCCACCCTGCACAAAGCTCAAGTTACAGCAACTGTGTTGTTTTATACAATCTTGGTACTATAAACACAATTTAACCAAGGACTGCTCAGGCTGGCTGCCTGCCCACCAACTCGGCAGGGAGACAGCCTTTCCACCGGCCACAGCATCAGGCCAACATGGGGAAAAGTTTCCTTGAGTGCACGAAATCCCCTTCTCCCAGCAAGGGTGCTGGCCAGGCAGGGGACGCACACGTGCGGGACAAGAAACACACTTGGTCACTAAGCCCTGGGCTCAGGGTACCAGCCAAGCTGCCGCCATGCAGGAATGGCAGCCATGTCCTCAGACAAGGCTTCTTCATGTGGTTTCTTTCTTGGGTTCAAACTGCAGGAGAGGTGCAGAGACACCCAAGCCAGCTCAAGGCGTAGGGAGTTCAGCTATGGCCCTATGAGACATGGAGACCCAAAGAGACTCAAGTGAGAGCTGGGATCAGCAACATGACACTCAGCAGCATCTCTGCACAGGTATGGGGGTCACCTTCCTCCTCCAAGGCAGGGGTCTGGCTCCTCCAGCTGAAAGGCAGCAGGACCACAGTGCTACCCTTCAGGGCAGATTCTTCCAGACTTCCAAGGCTTGTGGAAGGGAAGTCCAGAGAGCTCCAGCCACACCCCACACCCAGAGGTTGGGTTGACTTGGAGCTACCTAGCTCATGGAAAGATTCTGCCTGTAAGGATTTGGCTGCTTTTCTAACTCCCTAGAGTAGGGCAAAGGAGACAGAGTCCCAGAAGAGCACTGGGCTCGTGTGTGTACTCACATTCCTGCCAAAACATATACACTCTCCCACTGCTCTCACACACTGCAAGCTTGCTGTGTCCAAGATGTGCATCCAGATTCAGGGTCAGCGACACCCAGGGACGCCACCAGGAAAACCTGACCCAGACAACAGGAGAGCTCCTTTCTGTACTGCTCATCACCACCACCTCGCCAGTCCCGAGATCTCCTGAGCGTGCAGGACTAACAGCGTTCGCACCCAGCGGGTCAGTGGCTCTTTACCTGTGAAGAGGGGACTATTTCTTCCTCTGAATCCGACTCCTCGCTGGAATCATCACTGCTGTCCACAGGTGGAGGGGCTGGCGCTGGTGCTGGAGTCGGTGCCTTCTTCACATTTGTTGGCTGGGGCACAGCATTGGTTTTCACTGCAGGTAAAGCTTAAGAGATTGTAGCCATGAGAAAGAGTGGCTCTCCGTGACAGCAGGAGCTGTCACAGCAGACTGGGCTGTTCCATGTGCAGGAGAGAGAAGGAAACCCTTGAGGATGCAGGTGAGGGATCCTGGCCACTACCAGGAGACTTACCAGCTTGGGGAGGCTGTGCCTGTGCCGCAGGGAACTCCTCCTCACTGTCAGACGAGTCACTGCTCTCACTTTCTGAGACCTGGCTTTTCAAGGTGCTTCCCACTGCTTTTTCAGGCAACCCAGCTTTAGCAGCTTGGCTCAGGTTGGGAACAGGCCCAGGCTGTTCTGTTAACCTCTTATAAAATTTAAACACAGGCCCAGAAGTGTGGTATTAGTACAGGTGTTGCTTAGGAGTTTAAGTACAGTTTCATCTGAAGTTGGGTTTTGTTTTACCCTAACACAGCTGTTGCTAACACTTGCTCTATCCTTGGCATGTCAAGATTGGAAGGGGCTTTAGTTATTACTGTCTGTACGGAGCTGCTGAAGAGACATACCACTGCGTCTAGCAGTGTGCTTTTGACAGGAAGCCCGAGCGTGTTTTACTGCACGAGCGTGCAGGGCTAACAGTGCTCAAACTGAGAACAGCAATTCCTTATTGAGGCTGACACATTGGCTGGACAGGAGCCTGAGGGCAGGAGAAGCACAGCAGCCCCGAAACCTCCATTCCAAGGAAGGCCCTCATTTAAGCACAACCTCCCCCCAGGCTGGAGAATCAGGAGGAGCTGTAAAGCCTTGTGCCAAAACACTTCTAAGATGCAGAGACAGTATGAGAGCAGCTATGTCCTAGAGCTGCTGGATTGCTCAGTGTAGACACAGGGCTGACAAGCATTTGAGAACAACAAAGGGCTGGCAGAGACAGACCAGGACTCAAGATATGATTGAACACCCTGGAAACTGATCTGCCAACAGGTCTAGGAATTCACAAGTCTCCAGACAACAAAAGAGCCCTGCAATTCACTTGGGTTGTGCCTTTCTACCAGTACCCATCAACACCCTGATGTTCCAGGACAGGCTGTGAGTCACTGCCCCAAGCAACTTGCATGCCAGCACTAGGAAGCCACAGTTATTGCAGCACCAGATACACAACTGCCGAGTTGTGAGACGATCTCTTCCCATTCCCTCTCCTGGCTTAGGCAGAGGGCTGCAGACACCCTCCTGCACACTGCTGAGGGCTAGCGCTGGCAGAGGGAGAGGGAGCTTGCTGAGAGATCTGGTAACTTCACCACCCGCAGATACTCTCCAGGCTCGCAGTGCTCTGCACCCACTCAGTTTATTCCACTCACCGCTCATCTCCAGGCTGCTCTGTCAAAGAGCACATCACGCTTGCCAGGGCAGGCAGACCCCATCCAACCCACAGGTGATGGCAGCCTGCTTCAGCACTTTGTCTCTGGGCTTCCCACAAGGTGAGAGAGATTCCTGCCTGGGTGCACAGGTACTGCCACCCCCCTCTCCCAGCCCTACCGTGGTGCTAACACAGTTGGTCCTCTGCTGCAGGCTGAGAGGGTACAAGAGAATTTCAGCAGCACCAGCTCACCCGGAGGCTGCTCCTGGCTGGCAGCCGAGAGCTCCAGCCTAGCAGCTTCCCAGGAGGACGGATCTTACTATCCCTCCTGGCACAGCCCCACCAAGGGCCGCCACTGGGGCAGTGTTTATCATCTCCAAGCCAAACACTACACAGACAACAGCATCTGCATGTTTATCCCATTACAGAACAGCTCTCCAAACAAGCCAAGCACATTTTGACTCTGCTTAGAGAAACAGAAACCTCCACAAGTGCTTGGAGAAGAGAGAACTGCAAGCCTCACTTTTCTGTTTTGTTTTGATACCAGTGAGTCACTATCTCCAGAGGAGAGGCCAGATTTGCAGTGCTGAAGAGAACTACTTGAAGCAGATGCAAGAATTCACATGCTCTACTTGAACATGCTTGCTCCTCTCCCTCTTGTCCAAGCAACCTGTGTAAGGGAAGATCAGACTGTCTACGGAGATCAGACACCACTCGCTCTTTTAAGACCTTCATAGCAACAGGACTGGATTTTCCCCCTACTCAGATGCATGGCAGAAGCGCTGCTTTGTTTCCTAACTTGGCAAGAGATTGGGAAAGAGCTGCCATGCAGAGGCATCCTGACACAGAAAGATCCTAACAGCACGCACAGAGAAACCACCGTAAACTTTACAGAGTCTCGAGACTTCTCAAATCTTCCTGGGAGGAGGCCAAGGTCCCTCCATCCACCTCATCTTGGTCACTGCCAGATGGCTGACAGCCGCCACATCCTATGTCGTGGCTCCAGGTGGGATCAGGCCAGCAGCGGGGCCGAGTTACACTCGGGGAGCAGGGTAACACAGGCAGAGAGCTTCTGACAACTTAAATCACAGGTACTGAAGTAACTCAAGAGAAGACGGAAACAATTCAAGAGGAAATAATTTTCCTGCTCCCTGTCCATCCCCCAAAACCAGGAGCTGCCTGCAGCTCAGTACGAGTGATGACTCAGTGCCCGCACAACCCATCTGCCACTCTGCTAGGTCCATTTGCATCATGCAGCACTGCATGACAAGACAGGGAAACAATGCCGCTATAACCACCACACTCAATTGCTGCCTGTGCGCTGTGAAAGCACCACCAGCGTATCAGGACTGGGACCAGTACCTCAGCTGTGTCACAACACAGCAAAAGTATGACTATCCCCTGCAAGGGAGTAGGGACAGGGTTCAGGGAGGTAGAGAGACCTTTCATCTCTGGAGATCTGGCCTCTCCCCACAGGGCCTGTGGCCTAAGAAAACAAACTTTCAGGCACAACCTCTACCAGTGCAACCTGCATGTGTTTTCCTGTGGTGCTCAAGGAAGACACAGCTTCCCAACACATGTATGCATGGGCATTTCATGCCCAGACCTGCTAAGCAGAAACAGAAGCCTGTCCATGGAGGGCCTGAGTGCCATGTTTGGCCCACAATGTCCAGGAAAAGAGAAAGCAAAGGAGAATTAACAGTTCAAAACCAAAGACAGCTCACAGCATCTTCGAGGTCTATCCAGACTGTCCCCCATCACCATTCTTTCTCCCCAGAAAATATGCAAATGCCTTGTCAACTTCTTTGACTAAATATTCCTGAGTCTTCAGGGGTAAACATACCAATTAAGCAATTCAATTTAGGCATGATGTTCATTTTAATTGTGCTAATCCGCCCCCACTGGGAAAGATGAAGCAGCTTCCAACGCTCTGTATCTGTTTGGATCTTGCACAGAAGCCAGAGGAAGTTGCAGGATACAGTAAGTCAGTGGTTAGCATATGCCCAAGTAGCAGATGGTGAGGATGAGCTAAGAAGAGTTTGACTGGGAGGACAGGAATGTGGACACAGCTAAGCCTAATGGTTTATCTTCAGGCTTCACTCGTGGTCTCTGCCTGCAGAGGACTAACACGGGAAGAAACAGCCTGTTTGGCAAAAATAGAGCTCCCTCGATGACAAGCTCTTCCTTGCTGACTGGCTGCTGAGGGGTAATCAATCGCCAGTTAGCAAGAGGGAAGATGCTGAAATGGTTAAAAAGCCCTGAGCAAGACAGCTATGTGCTGCTGCCAGCTTCAAACCAGCACTGAGGGGAAACAAACCTACCCCAGCACATCCTTCACCTACAACCCTGCTAGAACAGACATGCATGAGTCTCAATGTTTTACAGTGAGACCCCATGGCACAGCTATCAGAATAGCTGTTCCTGCCACCCAAAGCTGAATCTTCAGAAATAATCACGCAGGAAGAGAGCAGCACAGAGCCAACTGTTAGAGATGCGTCCCCCTCCACCCACCTTAGCAGACCAAGGCTATAAAGACAAATGCAGAGCCTCTCCGGCTCCTGCCTGTCAATAGCGAAAGGACGTGTTGACAAAGAGCCTCCTTGCAAGGACACGTGAGGCTCTGCCCCCGGCTTCCCTTCCTCCCTTGCAGATAATAGCTGCCATCTCTGAAATGCTGCTTTCAGGGCATTTTCCAAAGATACCTGCAGCTCAAAGTCAATGCAGAGGTCTCCAAACAGTGGGCCTAAGGATGGTCTCAGGAAGGAAATTGTCTCCCTACAAGTTCAGCCACCTAAGTCTGAGCCCAGTCTGAGATGAGGGTCCTTCTCACAACAGAGGTCTAAACAAACCCTGACAGGAGGGCCAAGCACACAAGGCCCACTCCAGAGGGGCAATGCATGAGTGGAGTGAATCAGCTGGTATCAGACAGGTTATGCCCTACCCTTCTCTGGTATGACTGAGTGAACAGAGTTAGGCTTTACTTGTTTCCAGTAAGAAAGATCCTCCTCTCTGAGGGACTGAGATACAACATCCTACATGCTACTGGTGTTTCAAGGAGATCAGCGGTAGCGTTTAAGGGCTAAACAATTGTCTTGCATATCCCATCCTGTAGAACCAAGCTAAATGCATTATCACTTACCTTCTGGCTGACAGGCACAGGGAGATCCTCCTCTTCACTGCCCGAGGAGTCAGAGCTCTCTACTGGCTTTGTACTTTCAGCAGGCTTCGTGGGAGCAGCAGTCCTTGCCGTTGTGGTTTTGACCTGCTTTGGCACTGCTGGCTTTGGGGCTGGCTTATCTTGGGACAGTGGTAGTGTTTTTGCTGGAGCTGCTTTGCCAGTGAGTGATGCTGCTGGCATAGGTTTCACCGGGGATGGGACGGCCCGGGAAGATTTTGGTGGTTTTGTCTGGACAAGACAAGAGCAGCATGAAACAAGGGCAAATCCCACAGCAGCATGACAAGTCTGCTCAGACTGTAATCAAGAGAAGAGATTTCAGAGCCTCTTGGGAAAGGCAAACGCTGAACAAAGACTAGCAACTGTCAGGAAACACAAGATTCTTTCATCTAACTGTGTGGGGACAGTCTCCCAAGATAAGAAAGCATTTTTCTGACATTCTTCATCAGTCTGTTGATATCACCAGTGCCCTCCAGTGAGGTATGTTGCAGCACTTTGCACTCTCCACAGCACGGAAGCTAAGCTGCACTACAGTTTGACACATTAGACGTTATTTATTGCAATTTATAGCTGAGAGGCAAATTCAACCATAACAATTTGCCTCTTCAGGTGGGAAGAGAATTGCTGGGTTTTTTTATTTAGAAGTACTGATGGATTATTTTATTTTTCATTTAAGAAAGGCACAACAGCTTGATTAAAGCTCAGAGCAAAGACACTGAGGTGCCTTTAAACATCCCATGCCTCTTTCCTCCCACCTCCAACACGACTTTGCTATAAACTATATACATATACAAAATTTTCCTTTCAGTGCAATTCCCAGCCCTGAAGAGGAGGAACAGAGTCTCAGACCCACCTGGGTTACTGATGGAGGTTCCTCATCTTCACTGTCTGATAAGTCGCTGCTCTCTGATGTGTCATCGGGCTTTGCAGTCCCAGGAACTGTTGTGGACGTGGGCTTGGCCTGGCTTGGTGCCCCTGCCATTTGCTTCACTGCATTCTTCTTGGAGGACACTGGAGCAGCAGGTGCACTTTTAACCAGTGTTGCATTAACCTGCACTGTTTTCACAGCTGGTTTTTCCTGGAGGAACAAAAGGAAACAGGAGAATCAGGTAATATCTCAGAAGAAATCGGTTGAGAGCTATAACTGCATGGAATATGTTTTAAAGAAGGCCACCTTGCTAACTTCAGCCATGATAGGCTTGTTCAGACCCATGGGCTGTGGAGTATCTGAAGCAAGCTGCTTTCTCCATGGAGTTCCTGACTACATCCATGGCACTGCACATCAATCACCTCCTACAGATCAGAGGATCTCCCTTGACTTCAGGCACCAGGAAGAACTAGGATAGAATGGTTGATGCTAGCAGGAGTCAGTGGGGCTCTCAGCCATACAGCATGTTTCTATGGCCTTGGGTTTCGGGATCCCACGTGCCCAAGGGAGGATACAGCACTGTAGCATTTCCTCTCTCCTTCAAGGGAAGGGAAGTGATTTCCTACAGACAAGGATCCTGGCTTGAAGTTACCTGGACCACTGGAGCTGCAAGCTCCTCTTCAGAGGACGTCTCATCACTTGATTCCTCACTGCTGCTCTCAGCAGTCCCAGCTGCCTGCTTCGGCTCTGAAACACAAACAAGGAGATGTCAGAGCTGCTGCCTGCTCTGAACTCCCAGAGCATGATGCTAATGCAACTTTTGAAGTCAGGAAAACAAAACGAGCTGCAGAGAGGGCTAAGGGGTTTTACAGGGAAAAGGGCCTGGCTCTGTTGAAAGCATCAGTAGCATGCTGGGAACTGCTTCTCCAGATAAACATCAGCCCAGAAACAACACTCCCTTGAGTGCAGGCAGAGAAGATGGGAGATTCTTCCCAGTCACCCTCTGACCCTACAGGGAGCTGCCCAGCCACACACAGCTTGACTGGATCTCCTCTAGAAACAAGCCAAGAACCATTTTCAGAGCTTCTGTGATCTATTCTTCACCACCCCAACACACACTTCAAAGTGGTAAAAGATTTCCCTAAAGACTTCAAAACCTAAAACCAAACGCTTTGCGATTGGGAATAAAGAGAAGATACTGCAGTGCCTTTCCAAAAAGCTTAAAGCATTTGCAGTATTAGTACTGCATTTCCTCCAGATACGCTATGCTGTTATCTCCAACCCCGTAGTGCTGGGTGCTGCCAGACGAACATCTTAGCACAGAATCTGCTGCCTGAAATGGGCGCAAGCATGCCGGATTCATCCCACAAAGCTCCAGAGCTGCCTGCTTTGCAGTACTCTCACAGCCTCCCCAAGGAACAAGCATCACTCTGAGCTTTTCAGCAAGAGAGCTGAAATGAACATGCTGAAGGCACAGCTCAGACCTGATTCACAGGAAAGCTGGAGCACACGTGCATTTACTGCACCTTGCGGGCTCCTTACCTACTTTGGGGGCTGGAACCTTCACAGCTGGTGTTTCCTTTTCCTCCTCACTCTCTGATGAGCTGCTGCTGCTGCTGGAGCTTTCCGGTGCTTTGGCCATTACTGGTGCATCGCTTTGACCTACTTTGGCCACGGCTGTTGTGGCATGCCTAGGCAGTTTCTGCCCAGCCTTGGCCAGAGTTGCAGATGCAGCTGGTACATTGGGCTGCTGCTTACTTGAGACCACAGTTCTGTTGGCAGCAGAGAGGACCGCTGCTTTGCCTGCTGGGCCAGTGGGTTTATTAGGAGAATGCAGGGAGTTGGCAGCTTTGCCACTGACCACAGCTGGTGTCACCTACAGGAAACAAAATAAATTAGAAGCCTGCAGACAGATGAGGGGTTAAATTGGACACTGTCATAAGCAATGATCTAACAGCTGGGCAAGCCATTGAGCTCTTTAGGGAAGTACTTAGGAGACAGGTATCTAAGAGAAGGCTTATGCCTGCATAGGAGGGTCATTTGAATATGAATTCCACCCCAACCCACTATTCTACACATGCCAATAAGTCTGGGACAGTCCTGGCCTCAGAGTACTATCAGCCTTCAAAGCCAAGAGAAGAACTGCCTTACCGTAACTGCACCTTTTCCAACTGGTGTCCCCTCTTCTGATGAGGAGTCATCATCTTCACTGCTTTCTACATTCACTCCTGAGTTCGTGGCCAGGGAAAGGCTGGTTGCTGCACAGGAGAGAGCCACAGAGGAATCCTGTGAGCACATCTCTCACATCAAGATGGCTACTGATTTGCAGGCCCTAGTGGGCACGGCAGGGTCCCATCTCCACACCTGCCCCAACACCACTGCTGCCACTGTCTTTGGACAGGCAAGTGCTTTGTTCCTCTGTCCCATCCTTCTAGCTATCACCAAGACAAGCAAACAGCCAAGATCTGCATGTTTCCAAGGACTGGCCTACAGCAGATGAGACTGAGCCAAAGCGTATCGGACAAAAGGGTTTCTGTTAGACTATGCAAGCCAATGCCTCCCACATCAGCTGCACCAGGAATATATTCCCACCTCAGACGGAGGGCACTTGTTTCCAGATCAATTAGTCCTTCCTTCATGCACACAACAGGCCTGCCTTTGCTGGCCCATAACACACCTGGAACCAACTAGAAGGTGCTCCACAGCAGGCAGCATTAAGTTCCCAAGGCTTCATCCAAGTGATAACACCCATCCCTTTCCAATGAATCACAACAGGTGTTTTCTAGCTTCAGTAGACATCTGTGTTCCTCAAAAACTTCACACGAGAAGAAGGTGCTAAATTACTTGTCCTATTTTTCTAAGAGCACAAGGGAATAGCCATAACTTTACAAGCATTTTCTCTAGCCAAGCAAGTTGGGCTGCTCCTACACAAGCCTCCAGTCTTACTTTGTCAACTCCAGAGGGGTGAAAGGCTCCTACCATTTACAGCTTTTGTCTTCTCTTTCTCATCCTCTTCTTTATCTGAGCTCTCAGAGCTGCTTACAGGATCAGGAATTCTGATCTTTTCTGGGATGACTGTCTCCTCATCACTCAATTTTCTTCTCCTGGAATTCGAGGGAGTTCTGAGGGAAGAGAATTTGCATCAAAATGGGGAAAAAAAATACCTTGAACAGACTGGAATACAATTATTCATCAACTCTTAGGTCAGACTCTAGCCTAAGAACACGTGGTGTCATTCCTCTACAGCTCTTAATGGGGTGGAAGAAATACTTCTCTAATCTGCAAGGGACTGAGAATAACTCCTGAGAATAACATATCCCTGCAAAAGACATTTTTTTTCCTGAGTCCTAGGCAGAGTCTTTATTCCTTTAGCAGAGAAGTAAAAAATAATTTGGTCAGGTTACTGCTCACCACAGAGCAGAGACATCCTATAGAACAAATTCTGTCTCCAGGAGGTAGCTATAGCCAGACACTCAATAAATACAATCCCAGCATTAGGGCCGTGATGCCCAAACAGGTCTTGGTATTCCAGGAGGCCATGAGCAGTGAGTGAATCTGAAGGCTGCAAAAGCCATCTGAACTTGGGCTCTCAGGCCAAAAGGACAGAAAAGTTAGGTTGCAGAGATTTAAGAAAGGAAGCACTTGCACCTACATAAGATCTGTTGAGAGAAGCGGAGGAAGAGGCCACAGATGAGCATCAAACACTTCAGCTGTTCAACTGGGTTAAAACATTAAGCTGGAGAAAGATGTTTCCAAGCTCTGAATGCTACCTGTACCAGCAGAACAGATGTGGCTAAAGTTATAATTAATTTTCAAATGAAAACATAGGCAATTGTCCAGGTTTAGGGCTGGGCTGGCCACTAAATGCTGGACAGATGCTATTAAACCCCTCTCCCATCCCCAGAAGGGGAACAGAAAGAGAATAAGGGAGAGAAACTTACAGGTTGGAAAAGAAAACAGATTTAATGAAACAATACTACTAACACTACAGGATAATAATGTAAATAGGAAAAATGATGAAATATATACAAACTTGTTACAGGGATAGTAGTGGCTGGGCACGTGTCTGTGTGCCATTAACACACACAGGACTTCTAAGCTGGTCAAAGCCCTGAGATACCCGCATTTATCAGAGGCGAAAGAAAACCCCTCACTTTTGTGCCAGTTAAGCTTATGTTATTTGTTCATCTAATTTAAAAATATGATTAGTTTAACAATTTGGCTAGTAAAGATTGAACTTACGAGTGTTTCATTACCATAGCTGTAACAGCAAGTCTTTTTTGCAAGTAAGCTAGAAGGCACATTTGCCATTACAAAGTGCTGTGAATTACTGTAATAATCACTTAAATAAAATAATAGGGCAAGGCACACAGGCAGCCCTGATGCTCCAACACCTTCTGATTCAGTGGTAGCAGCGAACAATTTAACTGTGAGAAGCCTGGAGCATTTGAGGGCTCCAGCTGCTGCTGGGGCTGAGCTGATCCAGCTTCCCCCTGCACCCAGACACCCTTCTGTCCCCTCCCAGCATCCTCCAAGACCAAATGTTGCCCTGGAGGGAGGCTGCTCTTAAGTAACTCCAAATCTCAACTGCTAGGTTCACTTAGTAAGAGTTTCTGATGGAGAGCACCAGGGACAGCCTCGGTTGGCTGGGCAAAAGTCACAGTGCAGCCTGAGAAAAGGCATTTTCAGGCCAAAAGCCCACAAAGCAATAAGACAAGGGGAATCACAGTGCTCACTCAGGAGCACTCCAGTTAGGTAGGGCACTTACTGGACAAACAAGACTACTGGTCACTACATTCCCTATTTTGACTCTAATCCAGGCAAAAGTCTGAGAGGACCAGGAATAAAAGGTGTAAGTGCAGGGTGGGACCACAACAGAAGGGTGACGATACAGAAAAAGGAATTAAACACGGTAAGTTCGCTGTCACCCCTCAAGCTTTAAAAGTAATAGTGCCTGGAAGGGTTTGCAACAGCACCCAGGAATAGTCGCACAGAGTAGGGTTGCCATCAGTACCTAAGAGAGCAATAAATTGTTAGGGAGGAACTGCAAGCCTGTTCCTACATCGCTACATCCTCACCTAGAGCCAGTCTTGCTCCTGCTCAAGTAAGAAAATCACGGAGACACAAGAGCAAGAACCAGGGTAGCACCAAAGCATGAGGTGCTCTAGTAGAGGACACCTTTGAAACAAACACTTCTCGAGGCTGCTGGCACAGCCACGCTGAGGAGCACCTTCACTCCAGCACTTCTCAACATGGGCACAGAAGCTCAGCTCCACTGACTCCCCAATAACTCGGCTCTGTGGCTGCCACCAGGCCTCTCCGGTTCGATGCTGGAGTGGGCACTGTAAAGCGAGTGGTGCACACAGTGGGTGCTAATGTTCCTGCACCCCACAGATGGGAAGGCTCCACACTGCAGACCTTCACGTGGGGTATTCAGTGGCGTAACAATGCGGGAAGGCATCAGGCTGAACATGTAGCGGCTTGAAAGGACGGGTTGAAAGCAAGAGACTTTCTCTAAGTCAGAAGACATGAGAACTGTGCCAACCTCTAAGTCCCTCCAAGAGCCTTGGCATTTCAACATCTGCTCCAGTTCTCTATTCTTGGGTCAATAATTCCTGCAAAGCACGTAGCTTTAAAAAGAAAGTGAAACAGAACTGGGGAAGATTTTTGCCAGTAAAGTGTGACTCTGAGCCCCACAATACTCCAGCATTAACCCAAACTGGCAAGAACAGCATCAGCTACTCAAAACTAGAGTAACAAAACTTCTCTCCAAGCTCAGACGTTTTTCAACCAAAGAGATCTTTAACTTCTGAAACCGGAAGCTCCGAGGAAAGTCTGCTGAGCACAGTTATCACTGCAAATACTCTGACAACAGGAAACTCCAGCAAACAGAGAGCACACGTGCCACACAGCCTGGATGTTCACAGAGTCTGGAATCTGTTCCATACTCATTTCCTCCTTTGATTTACCTTTCCCAGTGAGTAAAGATGTCCTCGAGAGAGGCCGTGAGGGACGGAAGCAATTTCTGTGAAAGTAAAGGGGAAAACAGTCAGGCATGTGCCCCGTCTCAGGATGCGGTCACCAGGCAGCAGCAGAGACCACTCCAGGAATCCCCAGGAGCACGGGAACGTGTCCTCCCCGCACACAGACTCCCAGCAAAGCCCCCCCCCCCCCCGCGCCCTCCCCTCGGTGGGACCGGCCGAGCAGCACGTGTTCGGGGACTGGCTGCCTCCCCCGGTCCGGGACGGCTTTCCCCGGCGGGATACCGACCTCAGACCTTCTCCCCGGGCAGCTCG